CCAAATTTTCACACTCTCCATCCAGCCCCAGGAGGGATCTAACAACTCCATTTCGCCTGCCTGCCTGGGCCTGGCAGGAACAAACAAAATTGCAAATTGCAGCAGATCGATCAGAAATACTTTCTCCCTGTGGGGTTGCGGTGAGATTAATGAATTGTAAAATTCACTCTTGCGCAAGAAGATTTTAAAGAAGCGAAAGAGATTTGTCCATGCGATCTCTAGGATGTTTTTGTTCCTTCTGGTGCGTTTTATGGTTGCTCCTTTTGTTCCTTTGGGCTGCAAATACAAATTTATTTGTCCGCTCGAGATCGATCATTCGGGGGTCCATTGCACTCGTAATAAATCACAAAGATTGCGTCCTGGCAGGATGTGTCCAGGACCAGTGTCCTTTTGTCTGCCTCTGACTGAGCGGCTTTTGTTTTTCTTCCATCTTTTATGCTCTGTTCGGTGTGTGTGTTTTTTCGGATGTTTGCATTTCGAAATGCAAAATATGAGGAGGAAGAGGAAGAGGAAGGCGAAAAACAGAAGGCAAGAAGAAATGCTATGCGAGACGATCGTTTGGCGATATGCAAACATCTGCCTTGGCTTGGCCCGGTTTACTCGGCTGCTGACCAAACCCAAAAACCAAAGGTAGCACAACTGTACCCCCGAAGAGATCACAGCTCTCGGCTAATGCAAGGCAGGCTCATTCTTCATTGATTTGCTACGTGCCCCGGTCAGGGGTCAGGGGCCAGGGCCAGCTACCAGGAATCGGAATCCCTTGCAGGATCATAGAGGAACCAATCATTCCACACCTGTTATTTGGAACACTACGTGTGCGAGTCCGCGATGGGTTTTCGCTCTCTTCATGTCGATCCTGTAGATGTTGGTGGGAAGGAAAAAGGTTGCAGCGAAACCTGTTGGTCCGCCTAATGCGGCACATTAATTCAATAGGCCACACAGTCCCGGGGCTCAGACAGATTTTGAGTTTCGGGATCATTCATGCATGTAGATCACCGCAACAGATCAAAATAAATATGAAAAATGTTCAGTCTGAGAGACTCATCCTCAGGTACAGGTAGAAGTCCTGGTGTCTGTTGCTCGTCTGCCGGATTAGAGTTAGAAAAAGGGTCGATCTCAGCAACAGCTACAAGCAAGATCTCTGGAAACCTCTTACAGTGTTCATTCGAGCGGAAGTAACAGCTGCGTCTTGGATCCATGTAAGGAGAAATACAAACATGCATACTTGGCAATTATCGAGACGCAGCTGTAAAAGCCCCAAAAAAAAACATAAAAATATCCCACCGAAAGCTTCGCTCCCACACAACAAGCTCTTCTCTCCGCTGCTTTGCCGTCCTCTCTTCTGCTGCTACCAGGTAGAGGTGGAGGCGTTGCTCTCTTCTGCTCTGCAATGCAGCGCTCTGCTTCCCAGGCTCTATTCTGCTCGCCTTTAGTGCACTGAAGGAAATCAGAGCAAAGGAAATCTAGAGTTACTGAACCTTGAAAATATTCTATAACTTTAAGATATAAACGCATCCTTTTTGCTGTATCTGATTTCGTAAAGTGTATATGCAACAAATATTTCTACTAAAAACACTCTTTGCTCACGTTATTTTCGCGGAGTGTACGCTCTGCAGCTTCCACATCCAATGCATATCTGCTGCTTCAAACTCCTTCTTCATCTGCTCCTTCCTCTCGTTTCGGCTGCTGTCGTTGTCGCACCTGTCGCACAATTTATTTTGCGCCCAAGAACTAAAAAAGCCCAAAAAGCAAAACGCAAAGCAAAAACCACCAAAAAAATACAAGAAACGCCACAATATAAAAAAAACAGTTGCTTGATGTGCAACGCATATCCGTTTGTCTTTAGCTTCCTTTGCGTATAAGAAAGAAGCAGCTGCCATTCGAAAACATCAAGATATTTTAACGTACAGCAGAATCTGCAGCAGCCGATGCTTCCCAGCTAAAGTTTAACTCTTTTCCAGCAGGCAGCGCCAGCTACTCTCCCAGTCTCTCCTCTCTCTGTCTCTCTCTCTCTCTCACACGCTCTTTCAGTGCTTGTAATTTGCAATCGTTCACATGCTGTTCTTGTCTGATTTTATTTTCTCTGATATGCGCTCTCTTGCGGTCATAAAGTTTATCTGCTGCATCCGCTCTGCCCCCGCCGCTCTGGCTTTCAATGACAAAAGAGAGTGGAAGATGGAGAGGGGGAAGAGGAAGAGGACAGACATTGCCCAAAAAATGTACAGCAAAAATGTTCTCCTCTTTGATGAGAAGCAAAAGGTTCACAGGCGCGTCCCATGGATCTTGGGTTGTAGATCAATGTCACATTTATGTTTTGATTTCAGATTTATAACTTTATTAAAAATATTTATATGAATGCAATGCAATGCAACACAACAATGCGTATGCCAAAATTATTGACACATTTGAGTTACAGTTAACGAGGGCAGGCTGCAGCGAAAAAGGTAAGGGATATTTACAAGGGAAATAAAGGCGTATAGATTGCAGCTGAAGAAAAATAACTTTAAACCACAAAAGACCCTTTCGACTTAAGAATCCAAATGCTGAAATGAGATGCACAAAAATAAAAATATATCTTTGGATAGGTTTCATTTTGTTAGGATAAAGTACACTAAACTCCGTTTCACTTTTCTCACTCCATCGGAAAACATTGAGTGATGAAACCAGATCATTCCTTCTCTGTTTTTTTGTGTCCCCATACTTAACCTTAACCCTCGCGTTGCACGGAAAATAAATTGCTTAGAAAACATAAATAAATTACAACAAATTAATAAAGCTGTTCCACGGTTACGTAATAGCCCTGAAGGGCAAATGTAATGCCCAACACTATGTCCAGGGAGAAAGGGGAGGGATGGATGGGATGGGATGGCATGTAAACGATAATGTTATAGGGCAACCCGAACGAAGTCCGGGGGAATTCCGATATTCTTACGACTTGTCGCCCTTTTGGCAGGCACTCGTCAGGGCAGGGTGCAGGGCCCTGGGCCCAGGCATAGTCAGGCATCGGGAATCTGGGTGTGTGAAGACATTCGGCAAGATTAGACAATTTGGTATGGTTCGTTAGGAGGTTTGCGCTTGCTTGGCTTTGGCTCTGGCCAAAACGGAAAAAATCAAAACATAATTTCCAACGCTTCCAAGGAGCGTTTGATGGTAGGAAGGAGGGTAGGATAGGCACAACAACAGAAGCAGCAGAGTCTTTGTACCGTTACCGGTTCTCAAAGATGGAACGGAACGGTGGTAAACTAGTTTCGCCGCTGGATGCTTAACCTTCGCGCAGCCTCAGCAGCCGCCTCTACTACCTCAGGCCCCTGCTCAAAGACCAGACAATAACATTCATTAGAAAGGAGAGAAACGCAGAGAAACAGAGAGAGAGAGAGAGAGAAAAAGACAGAAAGAGAATGAGAATATGCGTAACACGTCGCAAGGATCACAAAAGATCTAAGTAGGTACAGCTGCGTCTTAAACTTTAAGCTTGATCAGGGAAGGGTGTGGTGTGTTTGTGTGTGCTGTCAGAAGGAGTATTCAATTGGCAGCTGTTATCCTGCGGCGCATCCTTTGTAATTAACAAAAGAGTGAGAACAGGAGAGAGACAGAAAGCAGCGAAAGAGAAAGAAAGAGAAGCCTCGGGCACGGGCTAAACCCATTAAAAGTCTTCACGAACTTCGGCCTGATGTTTGTACAGTTGCCCTCAGGAAAGGCCAGTCACAGTCGGAGGACGGGGACGGCCGTCTGAACCTGTCTCTGTTTGAGCATCACCTGCCATCGTCATCGTCATCGCCAACTGCTGTCTGTAGGTCTGTTAATGTGTTTAATGATGCCTCTGCTATGCTAAGTTGAGCCCCCGACCGACCCCTGACTCCGACTCCGATTCCGCCTCGATGTCTGTCCGCACACATGTCTCGTGCTGCATCGATTGTCCTGATGCGATATGCGGGTCGCGTCTTGCACCTCCGATCTTTCTAGCCACGCGCCCCAACTTTCCTTGCGACTCTCCTCGATCCATCCATCCATCCAGAGACCAGGGTCCGGCCCTGCGCACCTGCTCACTCGACTGATACAAAATGTGGGCCGCCCTAATGGAGTTGTCCCCGGGCCCAAGGTTCGCAACTTTTACCAAGCACAGCCGCCAGCTCTGGGCGATCATTAGTTGAGCCTGCACTCAACCTACTGGACAACATTTTTTGAACTTATTATTTTATTTTAATTTTGCCTTTTTCGGGACTTTTTTGTTGTTGATATTTTAGTCATTTGAGAAGGATACAGAAGATAAAGTCATTGGGGAATCTGACTCTAGAGACTATGGAGTGGAATTGGAACTTAATTGAATGCAGATATTTAATCCAAAAAGAGGTAAGGGAATTGTTTTAGACTTCAGTTTGTGTGGGAAGTTTGTTTTTCATAAATATTTCATTAATGAAAATTCATTTTCTCAATGGAATCTCTTGATTAACAAATATGCCAATATGTTCATGTACAATCAAATTTCTATACATCCACAACCATCCACTCGTTCAAGGTTATTCCAGAGCTATTTTTTCTACCGTTTTTATGCCACGACAAATGTGTAAAAGCTTCGCTATTATAATGTGATAGCTCCAGCCCTATCTAAATCTCAACGCAACAACAACTCAAACTCCTGATTTTCCACAACCTTTCACTCATTTCACTCTGTTCCTGGATGTTCCAGCAGTTTCCAATTTCCATTGGTCTACGTGTGGCCCTGAGAGGGTATTATACGCTTCGGCGCATGCGCATTCGGAGAGGAGCAAAAAATAAAACAGAAACACCCCTATGTGTGTGCCGCTACAGGCGAAAGATCGAGTGAGTCTCTCTTTGTCGCTTTGTCGCCGCGTCGCTGTAGTCGTAGTTGTAGTTGTAGTTGTAGCTGCAGCCGGTCTGTTCGGTCGCTTGTGTTTGCCTGCCTGTCGCTGTCGCTTTCGGCAGGAGTTGTTTTGTGTGTTTGTGGCTGTGGCTTACGAGCCAAGTCGCCGTCGCGGACGATTCAATTGCGCGCAAAACCTTCGACGGCAACGGTTGTGTCGCTCCGTGCCGCCTCTGTCTGAAGTGACCAAGTTCTGTTATTTCCAGTGTTCCTGGCGGAGATCTATCCTCTGTCTGGCCACAAGTCGAACATCGTTTTATATTTTTAAAATGTTTTAAAAGCTTAAGCCAAAGCAAAACGATCGTGTGGTAAGACTCTGTAAAACTGTTAAATTTTGTGTTTGTGCCGCGTCTTTCTATATTTGATAACTGTAGAACAGAACCGTTAGAACAAAGTGCCCTTTCGCCCTCCTCCAAAAAAGGGAGAAATCAGTAATCAGTGACAAGCAAAAAGAGTAAAGCGGAATAGAGATCCAAGAATGTGCCAAAAACAACAATTTGAGTGCTTAGCAGCACTATGGGTGCGCCGGCGATGATCTTGAACTCGGCTCAACTCCCCAGTGCGCAGGCAGCCTAACGGTGCATCGGCAAGTGCAGTTGCTTTTGCAACGAGAGGGGCAGGGAGGCCGAGAAAGAGAGAGAGAGAGAGAAGGCAGCGCCATTGCATTTCTTTTGATTGCTTGTGTATCATCTTTGGGGATCTCTTCTCGTCCGCCTCCACCTTCCACCGCCTTCGCTTTGGCGCAAAAAACATTTTCGTCGCCGCCGAAATGGTTTTTCGCTAATTTTTTGGCCGCTGGAACTCTGAAGATCGCGAGGATGCACTCCCAAAAGGTAATCCTATGCTTGAGTTATAAAAGTGCCGTTAGCTTTTTTATGTTTAACCGTTTGGCGTTTTGGGTGCAGCCTAATGAAGACTCTCTCTCACCGATGAGAAGTCTCCACAAGACAGACACACACACACACCCATGTACTCAAATAATTACAGCTAATGTCCAAAGTGCAACTGGAGAGAATTTTTGGTTGGAATGAAAAAAGGTAGCTGTAAATGAGATTATGCAATGGACCACTCTCACTCTTTTTGGCAATTCCCTCACCATTACTTCGCAATGACATAACGAATCAATATTGCAGACAGTTTGCAGAAAAAGAAGAAAACGTGGAAGGCCATTACGACGCAAAAGATAACATTGTTGCTGCAAACATTTCAGTGTGCCGTCCTCACCCCAATGGTTGGGGGGGAACGAACGTTGTCGCCTTTTGATTTATTTACATGTGCTTTTCGGAGGAGAGCACAAAAAGAGAAACATTTCTTTGTCTCGCCTCGCTCAAACAAACACACTGACTCATGTCTCATGTCTCTCTTATGCTTGGTCTCCAAGTCTCCCCCTCTCTGTCTCTGGCACGGTAGCTTCAAGAAGTAACGGAAAAACAGCAAAAGCAGCGTCATACCACTCCTCCACCTCCAGAACTACTCTTCCATCCTCCATCATCACGTTTCGCCAAGCTCTCTTTCCAAATTTCTCTTCCCCATGAGCCCAGGCCGCCAAGTCAGCGCCTTCATTATAATAATTTTTATTGCTTTTGCATAAATCAAAAATCATTAAACATTTAAAAAAAATGAAATCGTAAAAAAAAGAACAAAACGCACCTTTTGGATGTCTGCACTAATTTCACATAATGCTGTTGTTGCTCTCTGATCCTTCTTTTCTTTCTGTTCTTTTTTTCGCTCGCATTTCCGTTACTGTGGCTTTTGCCGAAGAGTTGATGTGCGAGGGAGGGCGGGGAGAGCGCAGCCATGTCTGCGGTTTGCATACAAATTCATTAGTGACGGCTGCCTGCCAATTCCCGCTCCCGCCCTCCACTCTCTTCCAACAGTCTCCAGCGTTGCCTCCCACATAGCAATTTCTGGGAATTTTACTGCACCTTTCCAGGAGAGGAGGGAGGCTGGCTGGAAAGCTCCACAAGGACGAGGAACTCACAAGGCGGCTGACCCTCTCTCTCTCTCTGTGTCTGAATGCAACTGTTTTCACTGGAATTATGCTCAAGCTTTTGGCGACTTTCTTTTTGTTGCATTTGCTTTAAAATTGTGTTCCTTCCCATTGTAGAACAGTTAGACAACAAACAGTTTTATGTGACAGCTTTGAAAAAGCACCGCAATAAAAGTTTAAGGAAGATGGCGAAAGCGAAAGAGAGTAACCGATTACAGTTACAGTTCAAGAACAAATTGATTTACTGTAAATATTTTAAATGGGCATTTCAAATTTGTTTTTCTCTTCCGAAATTGTAGAATAATTTAGCTGCTGATAAAGCTTTTAAGGCATTTATCTCATATCCATATCAAACTGTCAAACAATCTTTGTTTTATACAGTGCCCATTTGCCATAGATTCTACCATAGCTCCACAAACGTAGCCCCCGCCCTTAGAAACACGTACTGCTCCCACATAAATCTTCAAAACGAAACTCAAATTTTTGTACCACTTTCGACTTCTACGAAACAGACACACACACAACGCAGATTGAGACTCAAATTGTTTCCATCGGCTTCTTCGGCTTCTCATCTTTTTCGATTTTTTTTGGTGGAATGATTACTGTAACCAAAAATGTGACCCGATACTCCATCCAGCCGTCCGCTCCCCCTCTGTCCTCTTATGACAATTTGGTCACTAATTTTAGGGGCACTCTGCTCTGAATCTCTGGATATCTGTGGATCTGTGGTGGGGGCTTGGTCGGCTCGGACTGAACCAAATACAGTTGTCGGTAAAATTTTATTGATCTTTTTTCTGCACAAAAATATAAAATTGTTTCATGGTCGATTGTTGTTGCTGTTTCTGTTTCGCTTTCTGCCGCTGTCGACGAAATCGAATTCAAAACGCACGTGTGTGTGTGTGTGTATGTTTGTGTGAAGTGGAGCTTGGAGTTGGAGCAGATCCCAGCCAAAAGATCCCTGAAGAAGGACGCGAAGACTCCAGACGATAACAACAACAGTAAATACTTGGTTTAGGCAGAGGCCCCGAAATAGCCACTGTCCGAGCAGAGAGGCCCATGAGTCCCAAAGGGCAGCACGAAAAATATTTTTATCTTGATATAAATACTCTTTCCATTTGGTTGGGGTATTGCCTGTGGTAAAGCAAACAGAGTAAAAATCGGTCAGTTGCTAAAGAAAGGAACTTACAGATTTATAGATTAGAACTTAGTTTTTTGAAAATTAAAAAACAAATAATAGATACAAAATAAATGGAGAGGACATGTAAAATTCGGTCTGATGATGGTATTTTTTGTGAATTTTTGTTGTTTCTGCTGTTCTAAATACGCCAAAAGTTGCTTTCGGGGCATAAATATATGTCTTTAGTGGCGATGTGGCATGTCTGGTTGCGTTTTCGGAACTTGGTAAATGGGGCAAAAGGCTGGCGGTAGCCGGCAGACGAATCTTTGGGCGGAGTGGAGTGGAGTGGTTTGGGCGTCTGTCCTGTCCAGAATTCATGGAATTAGTTAACGATTAATGATTGGATATTGATTTCGTTTCTCTCTGTGAAGATTGCTTTGAAATATGTGTACTCCTCTCACGGAATTGCTCTCTCCACATATCGGGCTTCGCTTTTACTACTCATTAATTTCATTTAACTATCCTGAGACATTAAAAAAGAAAAATAATAAGGCTGGCAGAAGCGCAAATGAAGCAAGTTCCTGCTGATGCTGCTGCGGAGAGCAAACACCTTCCTTTGGCACATCTTTCTCCGTTCAGGCATTTTTACATAGTTTTATTTTCACGTTGTGAGATGAGATGCGATGCTTGCCTACCAGCTTTCTTTTCGAGAGATTTCCTTCCTTATAGCGTTTCTAACTGCTTTACGATCTGAGCGGACATAAAAGTCCAAAAGCAAGGAAGATACCATACAGACAGCATTTCTCGGTTCTCCGTTCAGGTAGTATATTTTGTGCTTGTTGTTGTTTTTTCTCTTTCTTAATTTCGTTTCCCGCTTCTGGGAAACTTAATTTTTGTGGATGCTCCTTGCCGCCATATCAAATTGGCGCTATCGAATACCTAACACGGTCTCCCCATCCATCCATGGCTCTGTGCACGAGTGTATATAGACAATGCCCCATATAAACTATGAAGCTGAAAGAAGCTTAAAATCTGCTTAGCTCTTTACATTTTTTGGTTGCTGCTTCGTGATATTTGAGGCTTAAATTCTTCAACAAGATGCCAGAATCCACATTTGGAGCATCCCCAGCATTTGGTTGGGTACACATTTGCGTAGAAAAAGCTATTTTAATTTGTGTGAGAACTCAACTCGACTTCACTTCATTGGGACATAGAGTGGTTGGTGGTAGGGGGGCTTAAAATGGCGCATATTTAACGATAATCATTAGCCTTCGTTGCTCCGTGGCGGCTCCTTGGCAACAAATTCGAGACGCGACGAGCCGAGCCACGAGGCTGGGGCTCTTTTGCCGCAGAGTCTGTGCCAATGAAGTAATTGAGCTGTTGGCCTGTCTGTCCGTCTGTCTGCCATCCTGCCTGGCTTGTATGCTTGGCCCCTAACAAGATTACAGCACGTTTTCAAACTATTTGACAATTAAAAAAGAGAAGCCACGTAATGGCATAAGGTAATTTGCTGAAAATTTGCTAGAACACTTTGTAGAAAGCATAATACGAATGCATTTTCGATGTCGAATTTAACTGGGTAATATAAAACACATTAGGCTTCTGGGTTAACTTTGATAACATCTTTTCGATGCAAACTTGTTTTGAATTACAGGAGTCTATGTACTGCTATGTATAAATGTATATAAATCATGCTAAAGAAATGTTTTAGTCTATGGTTAAATTTGATAATTATTTCTTTCTACTATTAGATGGCTTGGAAATGATGTTCTAATCAAATTAAATGTATTTTTGTGCAATTAAACAGGGGGAGCTGGAGCTCGCTGACACTCCAATCAAAAATGCTTTCCCATTGTGTGGTGCGCGATTTCTCCTACGTGATGCACATTTAACTACACTGAGAGAGACCGTTCGAAATAAATTTATGTAATTTCTGGACATCTTCACCTGCAGATTGGAGGAGTGGAGATAATCACAACATGTTGGCTGGTACGATGTGGGTATGTTGGGGAGCAATCAATTGGAGAACTCGTAGAAGGAACTGAAACCCCAATAAACGATGCGCTGATGGCCGACCATTTGGATTGATGATTGCACAAGCCACGGCCCATATTATGGCATAACAATATCAACGCCAAATGAGTGGTCGTCATGCAGGGTACAACTAAGGCAGTGCAGTGCAAGGCGTACAGGGGACGGTGCGGGGCAAACAAGTATCTATACTATATGGGGGTTGTCGGCCAGAATGGTTTTCTGAGCATTGCAGGAGACGGCATGGAGATGGAGTTGGAGGGGGCAGTGCCAAGACATCATTTTTGTGGGGTTCTCTCTCTCTGTTTTGGTTTGCGCCACCAACTCAAATTAAACACCGTTATGCATATCACCGGAGAAAGGAGAGTGCGCGGCGGGCAGGGGACAGGAGATATCGAATGGAGATTGAGATTGGCGTGGCCATGGCGTAACCCTTTAATTATGCCACATACATACATATACGATAGAAGGAGAGACAGACAGGCACACACACACACACACACACCCATACCCCAGATCGTTTCGTTCCTCTCAACATCAACGCCTTTCGAATGGCACTCCACTCTTTTTTTTCCCCGGGTTCTGTGGGGACCTGCTGCCTGTGCTGGTGCACTCCTCTATGCTACTTTCTAAAAAACTGTCCAGGAATATAAATTGCAGCCACGTTTCTCTCAGCTCTCGGCTCTACCCTCCCAAAGTGGCAACAAAACAAAAGTCAAAAATTCTAACCAAATGCAACTTTAGCACTCAGCCTCTGAAGCTCTCAAGCTCTGCGTCTCTGCATCTTAATTGCATTTCGATTACGTTTGCATTGGACCAAACACCAAACCAAATCTACAAAGAAAAAAAAGGCAAATAAGAAGAAATTTGAGATCTACGAAAGCAGACACATGGAATACTCTTCAAGATTATAAGCGTCAGGAGATGTAATGTAAAGTTGTTATCAGAATAAAGGAAAAGTGAAACTCCATCTATAAATATCGAAAACAGAAACATAATCGGGAATATCAAGAGATCTCCTCTAAGCTCTAAGTTCAAAGTTCTGACTGACTCGACAATTGTAGGATGCTCTGGCATAGAGTATATAAATCACGAAAAGAGACCAAAAAGAAAATCAAATCAAAAATGCTCAGGCGGTAGTATGTTAGCAACAAGTTGCCAGCAACATGCTGGAGCCACCACCAGGCCCCCAGCAGCAGGCAGGCAGCAGCATCATCAGGCATCAAGGCAGACAAGGCGACTGCAGGGAGGAGGATTGCCTGCAAAATAGACAACAGATGAGACAGCCAGGCACGGCCCAAGCTTCAGCTGTGGAACGCCTTTTATGTGCTATGCTACGGGATAATGGGCTGGCCAAAAGGAAACTGGTTTTCGGTGCAGGCGGCACAGGGAAGGCAGGCTCTCCTCCAGGTTGAGGCTAGAAATTGTAACAGCCACGCGAGAGAAGTTCTCAGGCAGGCCTGGGCAGAGAGTAGACCTTTCTACAAAAGTCTGGTAGTGCCTAGTGCCTGGTGGCTGCTCTGGTCCCCAAATGGTCTACTGGTCCTAGGCACTGGCCATTTAATACAGTTATTCTCTGTGCTCTCTCTCCCCAGATCTGTAGTACATCAGGCAATACAACAATAGGAAATGCAAACTGTTTTTGGCTGGAAGTCATGGACATGACCATTCCCGTTCACTTATCCCTCGCCTACATCCATCCTGCAATCGTGGGCTCTAGCTCCGCTCTCTTTCTCTCTCTCTCTCTCTCTCTCTCTCTCTCTCTCTTTGTCGATGGCTGTGAGTCTACCTCTGCCTTGGCAGTCATTAAAAATGATTCTACTCAAACTAGAACAGACCAAAGCAGGCAAAGGAAAAGGCCTGGCCTGGCGAGCGGACGGACCCGAGCCATCATAAATGTTGTGCAGGAGAAAGGCCAACAGACCGCACTGTGAATGCCCTTAATGAACATTGCATATTTTATGGCCTGATGGTAAGGTGCAAACTAGCAGGAAAGATGAATGGACAGACAGAAGAAATTATCATAGATCAAGAGAGCAAAATTGATGGGTACAGATTATGATTTTTCCAACTTTCAATGCTCAATGCTCCAATCAAAGAACAAATTTCTAAAAAGAACTAGAGCTGCACGAGTAGAAGTGCCAATCGATACGAATTGTTGATCAGTCCAACAGTCTGCCGCTATATATTATGTCGGATCTGGAGACGGCGATATCGAAGTGTGTTATTGCCTGGCGTGTCAGCTGTTGGCTTAAGCAAATATTATTACATGATATTGTGCACCACACACACAGCACACCACTCGGGCCTCGCCTCGCCTCGCGTGTCCCCCCTCCCCCTCTGCTCCACTTGAGACTTTAGATCCGATCCCATCCGCTCCACCCCTTTTCCAAGTCCCATTCCATTCCTGGGCAGCTTTTTCAATGAATTATTAGTTATTTAAAATTTATGTGCCGTTCTTGTTTCATTTTCTTCTTTTTTTCACTCCACTGTTTATGGTTCTTTTCTTTTTATCGCTCGTCTATTTGCGTTTCCGCTTTCCGTTCGCTGTGGGGCTGGCTCTCTGCTGGGACGATTGCCGCTTTTGAGTTCCTTTCATTTGCTCAATGAGTAGAGCAAAGCCCCACCGAATGTCTTGCAGCCTTTGGTGCCTCTCTTCATGTCGTTGGGGGCGTATTTGCCTAACAAAAATAAATAATAAATATGAATTTATTGCAGAGTTTGTTCGTTTTTCGGTTGCCTGGCCTCGCCTGGCCTGTGTGCTGCTGTCGTGTCATAGTAGGGAACAACATTAAAACCTCCTCTAATGCCCCGTTGTAGCCCCCGCAGCGATCAAATAAACAAATACGAGCAATGAATGCCGCGATTCTCGCCCCTCCCTCCGCTCTTCAGTATTATCATTATTTTTCTGCGCGGCTTCTTTCGGTAAGATAAGGCCCCAGTCCAGCCGCAGCTCTCCACACACTTGAAGAAATTGAGTGCAAGGAAGAGCCGCCGCCGCGCCGCATGAGTAGAGGAAGGAACTCTGTTTAGGTTTTCACGAATCTCAGTGTGATTCACTGAGAGACATTTCTGCTGATGCTATGGCAATTCTTCCGCTCAAATCAACAGTGGCGAGGGTTTTGTTTCTACGAATTTGTCACGCTTTGGATTTCAGATTTTGTTGATGTTGGCCAACTCGGTTAATGGAGATTCCTCAGCATGCATACATATACATATACATACACACATATATATATATCTGTATATCTTTATATCTGTATTATGCACCCCAGATACATATCTGTATGTATGGTAGTGCTTTCCCTTGTTCTGAAATGATTTGAGGCGTAAGTAAAAGGCATTTAACGCTTGATTTTGCCAAGAGTTTAATTTTACCTGCTTAAGCCGACTGATCCTATGCGATCCCTTTCGCTTCAATATCTTGCTGCTCCTCCTACTTCTGTCCAGGAGGATCCTTTTAGCGACTATTGTTGGGCATCTTTTTTTTTCTTTGCTTTTGCGCTGCTTTTGCGCTCCGCCCGCACAAAGGACACAGAGACATGTGAGAGCCATTCTCAAGTAGGGGCGGAAATTTAATCTGAAATGCAGTTTTTGTTGTTGTTGTCTGCTATTGAAATATGAGATTTTTAGGGCTTTGAGATCTTTGCTTTGTTTGTCGCTTACGCTTACCTACCTGTTGAAATGCTCTGGTTTTTGGTTTTTGGGCGGGAATTTAATTTTAGTAAAGATTCTTCATGTACTGTTGAAACTTTATATTCCTGCGCCATATATTTATACATACATATATCCTGTACGATGAAACTACAGTTCTGCTCAAAATACTTTATAAATTGCCCGTAGGACGGGAAGGTGTCAACGTTTTACATTTTGAACAAACATTGCACTTGTCCCGGCCTATGGGCGGTTTTTCAGACACATCGTACGAGTAGTAACATATCCATATACTAACTATGTACATATCCAAACTACTTATATTGATTTACATATGTATTTTATTTTTTTGCAGAATTGTCATGTTTTGCTGAACTAAAAGGAGAATATAGCTGAAACTATACAAAGGGTAAGTTGACATTTAAAAATTCACAAAACTCGCGCGCACCGTTAAATTCATGTTGCCACATCGTGGAAACTGACGTCATAGGGCTGCCATCTGAATTAAAGTTGCGAAGCACAAAACTATCAGAAATGTGCGCGTGACGAAAAATAAAGAAAATAAAATAATAAAATGCTGTAAAAATAAATATTTTCTTAAGAAATATCTCCCTGTATTAAAGAATAATAATAATAAAACTAATAATACAACAGAATCTATCACATTTATGCCAGTTGATAACTAAGGTCAGATTACATATTAAATATAAACAAGGTCACAAGTCTTATCTTTTGTGCGTTAAAGTAGGAAAAATATTTTTGTTAGGTTATTTAGAATTTTCTGTGCAAAAAAATGTCCCACGAAAGTTATAAGATACGAGATGGTGCTGTATTACTATAACTATTGTCAATCACGATCGAACTACTCACGACACGATGGCATCTCTGTTTCGTGTTCGACCATTTCCATTAATAAAGAGACAATGTGACATACACATTGCGACGATGATATCGATAGTACTATCGACGTTTGCAGCTGTAGCTGTACCTCTTCATAAAAATATAAAAATAAATGTTAGCTTCACTTAAAAATTTATTCTCGCTGCGTCTAGTTGTTGTGTGTGAGCGGTTGCTAGCAAAAAAACAGAGAGTGGCAGATACAGATAGCGAGAGAGGAGAGAGCAAGAGAAATAGCGTGAGACCGGACCAGAGCATTGGTTTTTATTTTGTTTGCCTCCTCCATCGCCTCTGACGCCGCTGTGCTGTGTACTCTGGCAGCCATTCCTTAATTAATTTATTTACGTCCGTATTGATTTTTTAAAGTAACAACAATTTGAATATATTATAGAGAGAGAGAGAGAAAAGAGCGCTTACAAACACACGCATACTGTACATAGAGAGTAAAAATAAAATATATGTAGGAAAATTGTTCGAGGTGAGTGTGAATCTATAAAAATAAATTAAGAGAAATATAACTAAAACATAAACACTGTTAGGAATGCGTGGAAAACAATGTGCTGCTCATTAAGCATTTAATTTAATTGTAGTTTTTCTTTTGTTGTCTAGTTTGCTATGTTTCTCTTTGAGTTTTATACTTCGCCTTAATTTGTTGAGTTAAAGTAGGCTTGTTTTATACAAAATAAATTCCATTCAATGCTATTGACTTTGAAGTGTCGAAGCAAAGTCAGTGTCGGCGTGAGCAGCGTTTCCGTTTAATTGTTTGTGTTTGATATTTTTTTACGGTAATCGCGGTCTTGTTTTTATTGCTGTTGCTGCGGTTGCGGTCTCTGCTGCTAGTTGCTGCTACTGAGCTGTTGCTAGTGCTGCCACTGCGCTGCTGACGTTTCGTTTTCGTTATCATAAATATTTTAATGATTTCATTTTACTTGCTGGCTCTCTTTGTGATTCTCTCATTCCTCTGCTCCACTAACCGTTGTTTTTTGTCATTTGCCTATTCTACTGCTGCGCTGCACTATTATAGTGAGAGAGGATACACTCAGTGTTGATCAGCTGCGTAAAATAGGAACCTGTTTTTTTTGTCGACAAAGTAGCCTTTTAAACGTCATAAATTCATTCAGTAAGTCTCTGGAATGAGTTCAGTTTTAAAAACATTAAATCAACTTGTTAAGTATTAATTGTATATATTGCATTGCAAATTGTAGAAAATCAAATACCATTTTCATGTATATGGAACAAGTGATCATTAAAAGGGAAGAAGAAACTCATTCGCCAGTGCCCATGGAACAAGACATGCAATTGCCAGCACAAGCGCCAAAGGGACGCGGACGTCCTCGCGCCTCGTATGCGCAAACGGGCGAATTCGATGTTGGCCTAATACGTGAGTTTCGCGCCCGGCCAGTGCTGTACGATCGCTCGTGCAAACGCCACAAGGACAAACAGCACGTGGCCGAACAATGGATGCAGATCTCGCACAAGCTCGGCTACGATGGTGAGGAACAGCAGGAGGCGGAGGACGCCAGATCGCTCCGAATAGAGATTAATATCGGCTTGTTATTCCCTTAGTTCCCGTTCTGAAGGAGCGCATGCTGAACCTGAGGAACCGCTACAACATTGAGAAGCGCCGCATCGAGTGCGGCGTGGCCACACATAACTCGCAATGGCCGCAATTCGAGAGCCTTCAGTTCCTGGCCAATCACATTCGCAGCCGGCGCAGCTTCAAGCATGTGAGCAAGTATTGCGATGACACCTTCGACGGAGGCATGAGCGACAGCAATGGCCAGGGGGCGAGCTTCAAGGATGATCAGGAGGAGGACGAGTTTGACCACGATCAATCGCTGCCAGTGACCACAGTGCTGACGTGAGTGCCAGAGAGTTCCCTGTTGAGCCGCACAGTTCGTTTGCTTATTCAGTCTGCCTTCTAGCATTCCGATCAACTCACCGCATGACGGCATCTATTCGACAAGGAGCCAGCGGCAGATGCTGAATGGCAATAATGCCAACAAGGCCAACACCAATGGCAGAAGCTACAGCTTGCCGAGTCGCCAGCAGGCGCTTGTCATCAGTAAAGTCACCGCAGCCGCAGCCGCAGCCCCCAAAAAGGGAGAAAACGAAGACGAGCAGGAGGAGTCGGAGGAGCCACCAGCCAAACGCAGAGCTGATGAGTCGCGATCCCACCAACCCACAGTGTCCATCCCCACAGAGCCATCAGCACCCACGACTTCCAATGCGTATGCCAAGTTCCATGGCTTTGGCGAGTTCATGGCCCACTCTCTCTCCGAATTGCCGCTGCAAAACGCCTTGCTTTTGGTACAGAAGTTCACCAGCGACCTGGTTCAGAGCACCATTCGCAGTCAGAAAGCAGCCAAACAGAAGGAGTGTACCGATCATGGCAGTGATTCGGAAGTCGAAGATTAGAATTAGTTACAATTTCATTTCATACACGGATGGGGTGCCTCTATCCATAATCCAAGCTACATAAATGGGATTCTGGCAGAACGAATCACCATTTATGCACTTGTGCGAAACTAACACGAATGTATTTGATTCCATTTAATGGCAGTGCTACTCCACCCACCGCTAAGCACCTCCAACACAACTAAACAAACTTGGTGGAGTCCAACTATGTACTTGTAATGTGCAAAATCTGTTACCATATTGATAAATATATATAAAATATGTGCAGACTTTTATAGAGCAGTTGGTCCTGCGTGCAAGCAATCTGTCATTGATATAGATTTAAAGTTTAAAAATTGCATTAGTGCGGGCCCTATCGATAGAAACATCGATTGATTTTGCGGGCTTAAAACGTTGTCCAGCACTTAGGCGTCGCGCAAATTTCAATCTGAAATTGTTGCTATTTTGTGCATTATATAGAAGTGTAAATTAAGAAATAAGCCGCGGAGGGGACTCCTCAGGAAGCGTTTCGACTGAGGGGAAGAATTGTAATATAACCAAACATTTATCGTTTTAGTTATATTTCTTTTCAAAATTTTTTTTGCTCTTTTTTTCAACCTCAGAGGAACAAGAGATGCATTTCCACCGTATGCGAACCTGAGCAAACTGCAGACCCGCTGCAGTGGGCATACCAGAGGAGAATGTGGCTCATTCCCACACATAAATGTAGGATGTTGATTGATGTAATGCGCGTTGCAACGTCCAATCAACGCTGTGATTATCAATGGACTTGCCCTAATGGAATTCACGTACGTACATACATGCGAGATGCAAACTAGAAGATGAGAAGAACGCTGCGATCAGAACTATTCCCGAATGAAGTATGTGCAGTCCGTTGGACACTCCTTTCTTTGGACACGCTGGGTGGTGGCCCCCGAGGTGGTTGGCACCTCGCCTTTTGCCGCTGCCTGCAGCTGCTCGTATAGTTGCCTCTTTTCTTTATTAATGTGTCTATATTTCTTAATTAAATTACAGTCTCTCCCATAGGTGATGGTGCGCGTGTAATTACAGTGTTTATATGGCATTTGGGCATTCATCTTGGACGCCTGCTGCTGGTGAGAGAGAGAGAAAGGAGTGGAGTGGAGTGGAGTGCAGCATTAAAACGTCACCTGATGTAGGCCGTGCCCAGTGCTTATTTGTCGTTGTTTGAAAATACAAATTGCACTAGTCCCGGCCTGCAGAGAGTGTCGCACACAACGAGGCGGCTGGCTCTTCGCATCAACGTTAACCCAAAATGTGGCATGGTCATGGCAATGGAATCTTGGTCTCTCCTTCTCTCCCTCTCTTGCATTTTGCGTGCAACTGCTGCTGCTGCTGCTGCTGCTTGCTGTTCGTCAAAGTCAAGACCGAAAACCGAAGTCTTCGCATCTCTTGTCTGTTCTGTCTCTCTGGGCCTGTAATTATATAATTTAATCAAATTACTTGCATATGTTGCCGAAAAAAGACCAAAAAAACGAAGAGGATGAGGAGGCCGAAGTAAGACTTGAGAAATCGGCAAATGCGGGGCAACATAAGTGGCAACAGAAATAAAAATAAATGCGCCGCTCCTCAACAGCAGCAGCAGCAGCAGCAGCAGCAGCAGCTCCTTGGCCTCGAAAATGGTTTATAGCTGGCTGCACTCGGTCGCTCGTCGAGCATTTTTGACAGTGAAATGTGCCTGCATGTGTGTGTGTGTGTGTGTGTGTGTGTGCGTGGCCGAAAGAAAGATATTTGCGTACTTTAGCATTCATCATCATTACTCTTTCGCAGTGGCTCTGCTCTGCGGCGTTGCGGTTGCATTTTAAACATTTTTAGGCGCAACTTAGCCTGACAGCCCGGCTTGACAGTTGCAAATTACCGTCAACCGCAGCCTGATGGCCAAAAGCTGACTGCTGCAACATTGTAGTTGTGGTCAGTGGAGTCACGCAAGTAATCGTTTTCCGTTTTATTATGAAAAATATGTAATTTTTGGCAAAAGAAGGTGCACAAAATGCTTTAGAGATACTTTTAGTTAAGTTTAGTTTAAATTGGCTGACAAAAATCCCACAACTGAACCCTCTACGAGGGTGTCGGCTAGGCAACAGACCTCCAGTTTTCTGTGCTCTACACAGAAAGGGTCTGGCTAAGTCCATCCTGTCACGAATCTGTGTTAGCATCCACTCGCCCTCACACCATGGTGCGGCATAGTGTAGTGCAGGATGGACATGGTTGGTGGGTCCCCCCAAAAGTCAGGGTGTTAGGCGATCCGTGCCCATTGGCTTGTCGTGCAGTCGGGGGGGGGGTGTTAGGTTTCCTACAAACGACTGTATCCACACGGAGCCTCAGCGATAACTGTCCGCCTCGTTGAGTACTTCAGGACTTGCCGTGTTAGCGGGGGCTATGACACGGTGGACCTCGTCACCCCTACACTCGTGGGAATTTCTATGTCAAATCAAAATACAAAAAAAAAAATTAAAATCAAAATCAAAAAAGAAGTAAAACAGAAGGAAGTTGCGGATCCACTAAAGCAGGATCTTTGCAAAAAGCAACGAAAACGTTACAATCGCTACATAAGGGAGGGCATGCAACGGGAAGAAGCCAAAAAACGGGCCATAGATCCCAATGCATATGAACTGGCAGCGCGTAAAAAGGCGAAAAATGTTGCGCCTCCTGCTGCAAGTGTTGGCGGCAAAAGGAAAGCTCCAGTCCCAGCGAAAGCCGTTGCCCCTAAGCGTGCCAAAAGTGTACCAGAGGCAGAGAGATCCATTGACATGGCCATCCTGGCCAATACTTACCCGCTTAGAATCCTTCGCAGAAGCGAGGCGAAGAAAGTGGAGGCAGCGCTGATCGAGGAGATGCTGAAAGGCTGCCCACACAGCATCAACTTTGATGGCGTCCACTTCAAGGATGGCGTTATCATTGTGAAGTGCCGCGATAACAGATCCAAGGAGTGGATGGAGCTCACCGTACCGAAGGTACACGTGCTCAGCAATGTGCTGTTGAGCAGTTGCCCTGTCGCTGATTTGCCCAGCATGAAGATTGTCAAGATACACCTACCGCGCACCGAAGGACAGAACGCCATGCGTTTGCTACGCGAGCAGAACAAGGACCTGGACTCTGATGCGTGGGAACTGCTGAGCAATTGCCTTACCAGAGAAGGGGGACACTTGGTGACCCTAGGGCTGAAGCCGCGGTCGCTCGAGCTGCTGCAGCAGAACGCCCTGAAAGTGAGTTACCGCTTCGAGCAGCTGCCATGCCGAATTTATGAGGATCAAACAGCCCAGGGTGATGATGAGGAGGTGGAGAATGCCATGTGGTATGTGGATATTCCGGATGTACATAGTCATAGAGAAGAGGATAAACTTATTCTATGATGTATAATGTATATTTTGTATATTTAAATTTAATTGGAGTTTTGAATCTTGTTTAAATTAACTAAGCTTAAACACACTTAAATAAACGCGGGAGCGCAAATTTAATTAATTGTAATGTAATGCATTCATCGTCAAGAGGGATGGGGGATGGGGCATGGGCTTTAGGGGTTTATTCATCGTATTACTTTCTTTTGTTTTGTTTTTTAATATTTCAATTCGAATTAAAATCACCATCCAAAAGTGGCTGCAATTTTGATTATTTCTGCCTGCGGCTCTTCTTGTTATTAGTTTATTTTAATATTATAGTTGAATATTTGAATAAACAACGAGAGAGAGAGAGAGGAGAGAGAGTGGAGACGACGACGACGACGACATCTACTATGGGCTATAATAGCTAGTAATTTTAATAAAAGTCTAAGGAGCAGTAGTAGAGTTCGGATTTGGAGTAGGCCAACAAAGACAAAGAGATCATTAACCACAACATCGGCGGACCACCGTCACAATTCGTACGTTATATTGTTCATATGATCGCGCGTCTTGCGCGGCTTAAATGGTGCCGCAAAATGCTCATAGGCATTGTCCGCATTGTACGACGAGCAGCGTCTCAGACGATGATGTTGCAGCGAGCTGCTGTACGGCGCATTGCCATTACCCGCCCCACCACCACCACCACCACCACCACCACCAGCGCCAAAGCAACGCATGGCCGCACACAGGAGGCTGCACCAGCGCCAGGACGAGGAGAACGTATAAAAGTGATGACCGTTGCCGTTTCCATTCCCCTTGGACAGCAGATGCTGGCGACTGTGATGCAAGTACTGATTGTAGTTGGAGCGAAAACTGCTACTATCGCTGCTGTGGCCACTGTCTCCGCTGTTGCTGCTGTCGCTGCGCCGCAGGCCCAAACGGAACAGATTCCCATTATTGTGGGCGGCATTGGCAAAGTCCTCGTAGTCCAAATGCGATTCGTACTCAAAGTCGCGATCAATGGAGACGGCGGGTGTGATGATCATAAATTGACTGTACTTTGGGCTGCGCTGTGGCTGCTGTGGCTGCTGTTGCTGCAGCTGCTGGTGTTGCCTCTGACGATTGCCTCGCTGTTGGTTGGCCAGCGAATTGAGCAGCGTTTGATTGGTGTCCACCGAGGAGTAGCTGTTGCTGTTCGAAATTGGCGACATGTCATTGTTATTGTTGTTGCTGTTGCTGTTGCTGCCGCTGTTCGTGTGGCTAGCATTGTTGTTGTTGCCATTGTTGTGCGTAAAGACTCCCGCAGGCGTTGGCTGTGTGGTGGTCACACCCATCGATGAGTGCTGCTGCTGTTGGGGCTGGTAGTGCTGGTATTGCAATTGTAATGTCTGCTTGGCATGCCTGGGCCGCCTCTTGGCAACTGGAGCTGAGGTCTGTTGTTGTTGTTGTTGTTGTTGTTGTTGTTGTTGTGGTGGTGGTGTTGTTGCTGTTGCTGCTGCTACTGCTGGTGGCATTGGCAGCTGTGGTGGCTGTTGTTGCTGCAATGCTGGTGATGTTGTTGTAGGCGTAGAGCCAACAGAGGGCATCCATCATCTTGTGTCCTCCGTCCCACTATTGCTGTCATCGGGCTTGACAATTTGGTAGGTTATCAAGTACTCTGGATAAGACTGCAAGGCAAAAGGAGAACTGTTGATGATTTCTGTATAATTAAAGTCACGCTTACGATCATCACCTGTTCACCCCGATAGACCACATATTCGGCGTAGTGCAGGCCAC